GCCCCCTACTGACCCGGGGCCCTCGGGCAGTGCCTGAGTGTTCGAATGGTCAGTCCGCCCCTGTTAACATCATAAATTTATCGGCTCAGATGGAAACGGTGCGCCTCTACCCCACCAACACTCAGCCCAAGCAGGCTACAGACAGGTTAAAAAAAACCGGCACACACATCCTCCCCGGAGATCCCTCTTCTCTTGAAGAATTGCGGCATTAAGATCCATTCACGGATAAAGCTGAATAGCTGTAAACTCATTTGCTTATCTCACCCCGGCGTTTCAGTCTCCGTGAATGCGGCTGCTTGGTACGCCGACGCGCTCCGCTACTCCTTATCTGAGGAGCCCGCAGTCACAGGCTAATGAAATGTATGTATTACAGGAGAGCATTAAAAAGGACAGAAAAGAAAAGGAACAAGGAAATGAAACCTAACTCAATTACATTTTTTTTTTTTTTTTTTTACAGACGGGAGAGAAGACTGGCTCTTGAGGGTTTTAATGGATCAGCTACAATCTTGCAAACATGAAGGAAAAAAAAAAAAAGTTATTGCCCCACGGGAGGCTGGGATCAGGACAAAGGGAGCGCCGGGTGAAAGGCCGAGAGGTTTTAAGCTTCGGCTGGCAAAAAAAAAGAAGAAGGAGATAATAAAGGATGTAGAACAACTGTGTGCACTTGTGTGGACAAGAGATTGTTGTCACGGCGTGAGCATGGAGTGTCTCTGGAGACGTACAATATGGACGCCGCTCAGTAATCTGCAGACCAGACTCCGCACAGCTGACCCTGGGAGCGATGACAATACACGGCCAGATACTGCGAAGGCGGCATTCAAGTGATAGTAAACTCAGACGTTTACCTACAAGTCAACTTATAATACAGCTTCCCTAAAGGTAAAACCAACTTCTCCTAATGCAGGCCATAGATGGGGAGAAAAAACGGCTGATTTTTCGTCCGAAAATAAAACCGGCCGATTATCTTATCGTTAGTGGACGATTTTGTCGGCCGTTTTTCGTGTATTTTGGACTTTCAGATTATCGGTGATGTTGGAAAATTTTCGAAAAAAAACGCCCGACTTTATCCTCATTGATGGTCAAAAACGAACGATCGTTTTCCGAAAAAGGATCACAAAGGTCACAAAATGACATCATTTCCCGTTATAGGTTACTCATTAATCGGACGATTTTCGTAATAATTGGTGGTCAGGTAAGTTTTTTAGACCGACCGATAGTTCGTTAATCGGCCGAAAATCTGCCGTTTTTTCTCCCCATCTATGGCCTGCATAAACGTGTCCCGTTTAGAAAACAAGTGTACAATCCAAACGCACACGTTCCTGCGTTAAAAAATGGTGGTGTGTATAAGTGGGTGCTGCAGCGACCGTCGGCTGGAACCAAACAAAATCAGCGAGGGAGAATGTCACCAGCACACCGAGGATCACCAATACGGGTCCAAAGGTTTTAATAAACCATCACATAGTTACAGCAAGGCAACGTTTCGGAGTCTCACAGGACCCCTTCATCAGGCATGTGACAAATTGTGATAGAAACTGGAGAACTATTTAACCACTTTTAGTCCGGACACTTTCCCCCCCTTCCAGTCCGGACACTTTTTCACCCCCTTCCAGTCCGGACACTTTCACCCCCCTTCCAGTCCGGACACTTTCACCCCCCTTCCAGTCCGGACGGACACTTTCCCCCCCTTCCAGTCCGGACACTTTCCCCCCCCTTCCAGTCCGGACACTTTCCCCCCCTTCCAGTCCGGACACTTTCCCCCCCTTCCAGTCCGGACACTTTCCCCCCCTTCCAGTCCGGACACTTTCCCCCCCTTCCAGTCCGGACACTTTCACCCTCTTCCAGTCCGGACACTTTCCCCCCCTTCCAGTCCGGACACTTTCCCCCCCTTCCAGTCCGGACACTTTCACCCCCATTCCAGTCCGGACACTTTCCCCCCCTTCCAGTCCGGACACTTTCCCCCCCTTCCAGTCCGGACACTTTCCCCCCCTTCCAGTCCGGACACTTTCCCCCCCTTCCAGTCCGGACACTTTCCCCCCCTTCCAGTCCGGACACTTTCCCCCCCCTTCCAGTCCGGACACTTTCCCCCCCTTCCAGTCCGGACACTTTCCCCCCCTTCCAGTCCGGACACTTTCCCCCCCTTCCAGTCCGGACACTTTCCCCCCCTTCCAGTCCGGACACTTTCCCCCCTTCCAGTCCGGACACTTTCCCCCCCCTTCCAGTCCGGACACTTTCACCCTCTTCCAGTCCGGACACTTTCACCCTCTTCCAGTCCGGACACTTTCACCCTCTTCCAGTCCGGACACTTTCACCCCCTTCCAGTCCGGACACTTTCCCCCCTTTTCCAGTCCGGACACTTTCCCCCCTTCCAGTCCGGACACTTTCCCCCCCTTCCAACAGTCCGGACACTTTCCCCCCTTCCAGTCCGGACACTTTCCCCCCCCCTTCCAGTCCGGACACTTTCCCCCCCTTCCAGTCCGGACACTTTCCCCCCCTTCCAGTCCGGACACTTTCCCCCCCTTCCAGTCCGGACACTTTCACCTCCTTCCAGTCCGGACACTTTCCCCCCCTTCCAGTCCGGACACTTTCCCCCCCTTCCAGTCCGGACACTTTCCCCCCCTTCCAGTCCGGACACTTTCCCCCCCTTCCAGTCCGGGACACTTTCCCCCCCTTCCAGTCCGGACACTTTCCCCCCCTTCCAGTCCGGACACTTTCCCCCCCTTCCTGACCAGGGCAATTTTTATTTTATTTTTTTTAGATTATTATTATTATTTTTTTTTTTTTTTTTTTACATACTGTCACCCTAGCAGTACAGTGTCACCATGGTGACACTGTACTACTTGTGGGGGGTGATGAAGATTTATTTTTTTTTTACACTGATTGCTTTTACACCCATATAGGATGTAAAAAGCAATCATTTCTCTTTCTCTCTGTCTGCATTCTTGCAGTCATTGAGAAATACTGAATGAGCTGTGATTGGTCACAGCTTGTCACATGGTACAAGGCTGTTGTGAATAGCCCTGTACCATGTGACCTCTGTGATCATTCACAGATTTCACACGTAGTAAGCAATGATGTCACAAGTGACATCTTGCTTACTACTTTGCATGTGATCACTGATTCGCCAATCAGTGATCACATGATCGGGACCTCATACAGAGGTCCCGTCCGACGATCGGTGTTTCACTGTGTCCGGAGGACACAGCGGGCACTGGATTGCGGTGGTGCGCGCTCCCAGGGAGCGCGCATAGCTAGAAAAGGCGGGTGCCGTTTATGAACAGCAACCCGACCCTGGAGTGCCACCGTCCTGCCGTTTATAAACAGCAGGCGGACGGCAAGAGGTTAAGAAAACCATCCACCAATCAGAGTGAAGTGAAATGAGCTTTATTACAATCCGGGGAGTACCATGATACACATGTGACCACGATGTTTCTATCCCCGGGAATGCAGTTTATGTACATCTGATTGTTTTATTTATTTTCGCAGTTTGTAATGTTTCTGGTTACATTGCTTTCAATACATTTTTGGAGGGAACATGAGATCATGGGGCGGGGCCAAGCTCATTTCACTTCACTCTGATTGGTGGATGGTTTTCTTAAATAGTTTTAGGGATGCACCAAAATTTTGGTGTCCGAAATGAAAAAAAGCACCAAAAAAAAACCCGTCCCTCGCCGCCGCCTTCCCGCTGCCGCCCTCCCGCTGCTTGGTAGTTCTCAGCCTTACCTGAGAAGCCATCGAACGATCCCAGAGCTGGACATAGAGATGAGTGAAGGAAAGATGGCCTCCACTCGTCTCTATGCCCTTGGAGGACTAATTATTTCTATCACAAGGGATGCATGCACTTCTTGTGATAAGAATAAAATGATTATAAATTATAAATAAATTATAAAAAGATTATAAAATTATAAAAGATTATAAAATGTTTCAAAGGGACAGTGCAAAAAAACAAAACAAAAAAAACATTAAATACATTAAAAAAAAAAAAAAGTTTAAAGTGCCCCCCCCCCCCCGCACGTTAATCGTACATTAATCCCCTCCCGCTGCCTCCTATGATCCCAGCATCACAAATCGGGAAGTGAAACTAAACAAACAGCAACCCTTGTTCAATGAAGCTGCGGCAATAAATCCTGGAAGCTGATTGGTTTCTATGCACAGCTGCACCAGATTTTGCACTCTCCACTTTTAGTAAATCAAACCCATAGACTGTCATTTTCCGGGAGAAGGGGGGGAGCTCCTCTTTCAGACAGAACTTTGCAAATCCAAACAAAAATCAGGTAAAAAACTTTCTGTCGTTGATCACAGAAGCCCATTCTGTCCTAAATCTGTCCACTAAATTGCATAACAAAACGGACTGAGTGGCTCCTTATTTTTCATTCATTTGTCTACCTCTGAATATTAAAATGGCCCATCAGAAAATGGGTGCAAATTGGGTGCGACAGGCCACACCGGGACTGCAGCTAATGAAACGGACAGCAGCACTGCATGACACCATGTAGTATGTCCTCTAAAACATCAAATTATAAAACACAATAACCAGCAGCCATAGGAGGACATATAAAATTCCACCAGAAAAAGCCTCAGAACCTCAGAAGAAACATAAAAAAAAATGTTCATTCTTATACCCCGACTCGGGAGAAATTGAAAATGATCCCCTGCAGCAGGGCTGTGCCCAGACCAGATGATGCTCCAGCTGTGAACGGTCCCTCAACACCATCGCATCCAGTGCAGGGTGTATGGACCCTGTATTGGTCTCCATGACGTCAGGACCTCAGACTGGATCGTAGGGGAGAAGACATGGCAGGAACCGGTGAAGGATCAGGTAAGTAAATCATCCTCAACAAATCCCCTAGACCTAAATGAGCGATTCGTGCTTGTGGGGCATGGCGACACTACACGGGATCATTGTTACGCTTCCCAGAGTTGGGCTTTAAAGGCCGACAACAGACAAACATTGAATTTGGACATTGTGGGGAAGATTAGAGCCTCTGTTGTGTTTTTATTGCTTTCTGTATCCCTGTTGGGGAGATCTCCCTGACAATGTTTTGTTTGTTTGCTGTGTGTGACGTACCCCAGACCCCGCATTCACTATATCCGCTCTCCCCGGACCCCGCATTCACTATATCCGCTCTCCCCGGACCCCGCATTCACTATATCCGCTCTCCCCGGACCTGCATTCACTATATCCGCTCTCCCCGGACCCTGCATTCACTATATCCGCTCTCCGGGACCCTGCATTCACTATATCTGCTCTCCCCGGACCCCTTCCCACTCTAGCATTCACTATATCCGCTCTCCCCGGACCCCGCATTCACTATATCCGCTCTCCCGGGACCCCGCATTCACTATATCCGCTCTCCCCGGACCCCGCATTCACTATATCCGCTCTCCCCGGACCCTGCATTCACTATATCCGCTCTCCCCGTACCCTGCATTCACTATAACCGCTCTCCCGGACCCCGCAATCACTATATCCGCTCTCCCCGGACCCCGCATTCACTATATCCGCTCTCCCCGGACCCCGCATTCACTATAACGCTCTACCCGGACCCCGCATTCACTAAATATCCGGTCTCTTCGGACCCCGCATTCACTATATTCCACTCCTCCCCGGACCCCGCATTCACTATATCTGCTCTCCCCGGACCCCGCATTCACTATATCCGCTCTCCACGGACCCCGCATTCACTATATCTGCTCTCCCCGGACCCTGTATTCACTATATCCGCTCTCCCACGGACCCGCATTCACTATATCTGCTCTCCCCGGACCCCGGCATTCACTATATCCACTCTCCCTGGACCCCGCATTCACTATATCCGCTCTCCCTGGACCCCGCATTCACTATATTCCGCTCTCCCCGGACCCCGCATTCACTATATCCTCTCTCCCCGGACCCCCGCATTCACTATATCCTCTCTCCCCGGACCCCACATTTCACTATGTCTGGTCCCCCCGGACCCTGTATTCACTATATCCTCTCTCCCCGGACCCCACATTCACTATGTCTGGTCCCCCACAGTACAAAGAACATGGAAATGCAATTATTTTAGTAAATATAAACTGGCTAAATACCTTTTCTCATCAGCAGTATGTAGCAGTCATGTGACTTCTATCAGTGATCAGCAGAGCACCGGTTAAAGATTTGTAGGAGGTGTTTATCATTCTCCTCTGACTGTCCTAACCCCTGACTCTCTGATTGGCCCTGTGCTGATCACATACACCCCCCCCCACAAAAAAAAAAAAAAAACAAAAAAAACTCTAGCAATACACAGCAAATTGAACATGTGAAAAAGTAACTCTGAGAGCTCTGTACTATCAGTGGATGGATTAGAGATAGTAGAAGAAGGGGAGGATCAGAGAAGACAGGATCAAACAGCCTTTTTACACAATGTGGAGGAATAACCCCTTTAGGCTCCACAGTGAGTATAACAAGCATGCTTTACTGCATCTACAGACTGATTGTACTGTTGTGGGTTTAGTAACACTTTGTTCTTCCCAAGTGCCACAAAGAAGGAAAGTGAGAGAAAATCTCCCTAATGGGGTCACAGACAGAAATAGTAATAACCAGACAGAATTCTTCTCTATCCGAAGTAGAAAATATATCAATTGGCTGCAGTCTATGTTTCCAATCCAAATCAGACGGGAGGAGAAGATACAATCGGAATTATTCAGGCAGCATTGATGAAGTCCCAACATTTGGTAACCCACAAGCAATCAGATGACAGATGACAGAAACAGCCAGACGTGAGCCCTGCGCAGGTCACCGACAACGAGATCAGACCGATCACATATTCACAACCATCTCTGATCAATAACGGCTAGAAAGTAATCTGCATCCAATTCATGGACATCCCAAAACTGATGACCAGACACACAAGAACATCTTACCTGGTTGATGGTGTTGGCTGCACAAGACGCCAGGCCGGTCCCCACAGAGGCCAACAGGAAGCAGCTGAGGTCAAAGGGCACAGGAGCCATGGCATAGCCAGCTGATGCGGTGATCACCACCAGGGCTGTAAATGACAAATAGAACATGTAAACCTCTGTCCAGACACCACAGACAATGAAATGATACGTCATGGATATACTGTACGGCTCCGCTCACACTTGTGCGATTTAAAATGCAAACCGAGCCGCACAGAATCGCATGACAATGGAAAAATCGCATTGTTTTCTATGGTGGCCTGTCCACATCAATGCAACTCAGCAACAGAGCGATTTTGGAAAAGGTTCCTTTACTACTTTGGCGCGAATCCCCCTCCCAGCATGATTTTGGTCCCACAGAATATGCCAAAACCTTAATGAAGCAGCATCCACGTTGCACTATATAATCGCACTGAAAAGTCACATCAAATCTGATGGCAGCAGTGTGAACCGAGCCATAAAGGACACGGCGTTTCGTGTGTTTGATTTAGTACAAGGTATCCTTTAACCCCCATGTACATAAACGGCGTATGACGGGAGCAGTGCAGGAGCGGGTGGACGTTTTTAACGGCGCCCCGCATTCACTGCCTGTGCGGGGAGAGGAGGGTTTATGGAGAGGGGCAGGAGAGGGGGAGGAGTTGAGGAGTTAGGGAGAGAGGAGGAG